CACACACACACACACACACACACACACACACACACACAAAGGGGGTCTGAAATCCCCCGACAGGTGAGTGCGCTGGGGGGGCCCGGCCCCCAACCGGGTGCCCTGCCCGGCCAGGCCGCCCGGGGCCTCCCTCAGGCCCCTGCCGGTCACCCGGGCGGCCCGGATCCCCACTCAGGAAAAAAACACATTTGCAACTTAGATAGCTCAATGGTTTTCTCCACATAATCCCAATACTCCTAGGGAAATAGCGGGTCTTGAGTAATTGCCCCACACAAGGCACCTTTTCCAGAGTCGGGAAAACAAACGTCGGGGCCAAGACCGAGGGCCCAGGAGCGGGGAAAAAAAGGGGACCGAGCAGTTGGGACTGCCGCACAGGCCTCGATACCTTTTTTTTTCGAAGACCGCATACGGGCGTGGACCGATTCCAAAACATTCACGAATTCGTGACGGCGGAGATCCACAGCCTTGAAGCACGAGCACACGCACACACACACACACACACAACGACCACCACAGTGACGGTGGACAACGACAACGATGGAGGAGGACAATGCGGCTATGACATTTTTTTCCTAGACAATGGTGCTGACAACGAGGACAGTAAGGAGGAGAACGGTGATGAGGAGAGGAGAACTACAAGGAGGGTGGAGTAGAAGAGGAGGAGGAGGCTACAGTGGACAGGGAGGAGACTACAATGAAGGAAGAGGGGGAGGAGGAGGCTACGACGAAGTAGGGGAAGGAAGAGGAGGAGAGGAGGAGGAGGATGGTAGGAGGAGTAGGAAGCAGGTGGAGGTGGAAGGAGGGGGACACTAAAATGGAGGAGGAGCAAGACGGAGGAGGAGCAGGAAGAGGACGAAGAGAAGGCTGCCATAGATGAGGAGGAGCAGGAGACTACAGTGCAGGAAGAGGAGGAGGAGGAGGCTCCAATGTAGGGGGAGGAGGAGAAGGGAGGCGGGAAGAGGAGGACGGTGCTACCACGGAGGAGGACGAGGATGCTGCGGAGAAGGAGAGGTTGGCCGCGGTCGAAGAGCAGGAGGAGCTGCCTACAATGCAGGAGTAGGAAGAGGAGGCTATGATGGTAGAGGAGGAGGAGGAGGAGGAGGAAGAGGCGCAGGAGGCGAGGAGGAGGACGCTACCATCAAGGAGGACGACGAGGGTGACGAGGAGCAGGAGGGGGAGGTACTATCAATCCATCAATTAGACATCCCACAGCACCATTTCCATGCCATATTTCCCTAACTACAACCCAGAGGGGAGCCACCACCTCTCAATCAATCAATCAATCTCGCTGAGCCGACCACACAGCACGCTACAATAAAAATAGAAAACGGAAAAAAAAATCCCTGAAGTCGCAGCAACGGGAGATCAGCAATCAATCAATCAATAGATCAATCCATTCCCAGAACTTCTGATGTGGATTGCAAGATGGAGCAGCTAGGGAAGGGTTTTCTTTCGATTTTTTGGAAACTCTCTCTCTCTCTCTCTCTCTCTCTCTCTCTCTCTCTCTCTCTCTCTCTCTCTCTCTCTCTCTCTCTCTGAAACCGTATTCGCCTGTTAGCAGTAGTGAATGCAGATCCCAGGGCTCGATCCCTAGTTCTTACCTTACCTGTGTACAGTATCTGTGTCGACCCCGAGAGTTGAATCCGTGACCTGTGTATTCGCAACGGTTGGTAGGCTGTCGTAGGTCTGTAGGTGGTAGGGGTTCGATCTGTAGACCTGTAGGATAGAGGACTTAGTGAGTCCTAGAAGTCGTAGCTGTAGCTCTTCTGAAGGGTCAAGGTCGTAGCTGCTACAGTCCTGAAAGGTCAAGGTCGTAGCTGCTACAGTGTTCGAAAGGCCAAGCCCACAGACTTCCGGAAGGTCCGGAAGTGGCCTTTCGAAGTTGCCTCACATTTGGACAGAGGCAAGTGGGCAAGTGGTGAGCCCAACGGCCTTACGTCGGCAGTGCGACTGCATCGAGTTGGCAGTGCAAACCCATGCAGTCAGCGGTACCGGTCCCAGTCAGTCAGAGTCCCGTCCAGCAAGTACCGTGTGGGACTGTGTGCACCCAGGGCATGGGAAAGGGGCAGACCGACGAGTTACAGAAGTATAAATCAAGAGGCAGCGCCCAGTCATTCATTCATTCCTGCGTAAGCCATGCGGAAGTGCTGCTTGAGCGACTTGTGCGAGGTGGTCTGCAGAGTGCCCGAAGACGAAGTGGGCTGGAAGAGATAGTTAGCCATAGCTAGCGAGGGACAGCGGCCATAGCCTCCATAGCTGATAGGCGAGTGAGTGTGTACGAGGGTATGTGTGTGGGATATCCAGGGTGATCCGGAGTTGAGCAAGTGTGAACAGTGGTGTTGAACAGAGAGACGAGAGTTGGGGTGTACAGGAGCTGATGCGCCATAGCCTGTTGTATCTGAACTGTGTTTTCGACTCCCATATCTCTGAGCTTTGAGTGGGCGCTGTGCGCCAGTGTGTCCCACCATCTGTTTGCACGAGTGCAGAGTGGAAAAGAAAGCGTGTCTGATTGCATCTCTCTCTCTCTCTCTCTCTCTCTCTCTCTCTCTCTCTCTCTCTCTCT